TGGAAAAGAATCGACATGGAAAGCCAGATTGTGCGAAATGCCAACCAAAACGTGTCCGTAATGACGTGCAGTTGAGCGGCGCTGCGCTGCGCTGTCTTGCGTTGTGTGGCGCTCGACTGAGTTGAGTGCTTGTCCGACTGTCCTTGCTGTCTAAGACTAACTCATACGCACACATACATATATACGCACAGTAAAGTGGTTATAAGCACTCACAAGAACAACAATAACGACAACAAACAACGTAACAACCACTAACACAGCAACTTTGATACAATTTTCACTGCTGGCGTCGATGAAGCCCAGCCATTGGTAACAGTGAAGGAGGTGTGAGCCGGCAGGACGTGTAGTGCAAATAACATACACACACCCCCACAACTATATAAATAGTTACTTATACTTGTCATGTTAAAAAAAAAAGTAAAAATTACGAGGGCGGTCCGATAAGAAATTGGCCTCACCGTCCGTTGATGCCTCTATCGCACGAGTGATTTACTATGTAGTACATACCGTTAGACAGTCAAAAAGGCCTAGTGGTTTTGACAGCGTGTGTCTCGGGCTCTATTTAAAAAAAATTGGAAAAAGCAGGTCCGATAAGAAATTGGCCTCACCGTCCGTTGATGCCTCTATCGCACGAGTGATTTACTATGTAGTACATACCGTTAGACAGTCAAAAAGGCCTAGTGGTTTTGACAGCGTGTGTCTCGGGCTCTATTTAAAAAAAATTGGAAAAAGCAGGTCCGTGGTTCGAGTCGGTCTGAGTGTTTTTGGAAGAAAAATCGGGCAAACGAAATAAAGAACGCTTGAATGCTATATACATAGACCCGTTTTCCTTCGAAGGGGAGTGTCAAAAATGGGAGCTCAATGGGTTTCAATGTGGTCGCACGTCAGTTTTGGAGGAGCCACGCCCAAGTGCCCCGAAAGCATCTGTCAGCAAGGATAATGTGACAAAAGTCCATGTTCTTGTATTGACCGAGACCACCGTTTAAAGTTCACAAGATATATGAGACCATAAGTAGTTCAAAGACTGTATGGGTCATATCCTACACGAAATATTGGACTTAAGGCCCAATTTAGACAACAAGCGGAAGCATGATACCACTTTATCGCAGCGTTTAGGCTGTTAAAGCGCATTCTGGAGGAGTTTTGGCATCTTTTCGTGACCGTCGACGAAATATGGTGAAGCCATTGGTAAGCATAAGAGACCATGAAGAGTGAAAACAGTGTGCTTAACCTGATGAATTTGCTTCCAAGATTCCAAAAGCTGTCCTATCGGCTGGAAAATTAAAGGAAACCGTTTTTTTGGAATTTAGTAGGAGTGATCTACCAAAAGCTCTGTCAGGATCAGAAAGAAGTTCTCCGAGCTCTTCGATACCAAACAAGGAGCCAGACAAGGCAATCGTGCAACTTCTTCAACCTACTGCTGGAGAAAATAATTCGAGCTGCAGATTTATATCAAGAAGGCACAGTCTTTTCCACTCTATGTCCTCAACAACAGCGCCGTTACTTCTCCTTTCTCCAGACTGGATAATGAAGCGAAGCAAAAGGGTCTGGTTGTGAGCGAAGGCAAGGCGCAATGTTTTCTGCCATCAAACAAACATCCGTCGCACACGAGACTTGGCTTCCACGTCACTTTTGACAGTCAGAACTTCGAAGTCGTAGTATTGACACCAACAGCTACGTCAGCATCGAAATCCAACGCAAAATAACTCTTGCCAACAGGTGCTACTTCGGACTGAGTAGGCAATTGACAAGTAAAGTCCTCTCTCGACGGACAAAAACCAAACCTTATAGGCAGCGTCTACGATGACTAAGTCATGTCGTCCGAATGAACGAAAACACTTCAGCTCTGAAAGTATTTGACGAAATACCCGCCGGACGAATCAGAGGAAAAGGAAGTCCTCCACTCCCTTAGAAAGATCAAGTGGAGAGGACCTGGCTATTTTGGAATCTCCAATTGGCGCCAAACAGTAAACACGAAGAACGATTGGCGCGCTAACTGGGCTATAACCACCTAAGCGGCGTCTACGCCAATGAAGAATAAAAAGAAATTTGAGCATTACAGGGCAATTTCGTCGGGTTATTAGACGACCTTTTGAGAAATATCTCATTATTGACTTATCGGACCGTCCTCGGATTGCCTGTTATTGTCCAAAAAAATATGTAAAAACTATGCACCCATCCCTAGACTAAAATAACAGCAACAAGTTGGTGTTGAATGGTGAAGTGTGGTGCGACGCGTTGCTATTGCCACAGGGCTGGCTATCATATTAAGGATACTGTGGTCACAATCAACTCAACTTTAATTCAATAACATAATTCACTTGGCCACCACCACCCGACCGCCTCGTCCGCGCGCGCTGTTGACCATAACGCTCCCAACTTACCGTTCCTCTCTCTCACCCACCCGCGCTTTCGCACGCCAGGAAACGAGAGTCGACGCTGATCGGCTATCGCTTTCTTTGTATGTACCGTTATACACGACTCGCTAAACTGCAATGCACACAAATTCACGCATACTTATATACTATACACGCTAGATGCCTTCTCCTTTGACGCCCCCGGCATTGAGATTAAAGTGGAATTCGCCATTTTCTCTGCAATGTTTTCTATGGCAATTATTTATATTATTAAACCTGAAGAGTTGTACAATTGTTTGCATTGCTAAGGTGGAGCAGTTCTGTTTTTCACGCTCCATGTGTATATGTGTATGTGTGTGTAAATCAATAATGTACTCATATAATGAATCACTTTTTGCGATATTTGTGGGCCAAGCTGATACTTGTGGCTTATATCTCGATTGTATTAAATTTTTTTGCTGAATTCATATTCACCTACACAAGCATACTATATACACTCACACATATACATGTGTATATGTCGATGTAGGCAGAAACCATTTGGGTGCGTTTGTATATATTTGTTTTTCATTTAATGTTGTTTGAAACAACTCATTTTGCGGCTTCCATCTATGACTTGTTGAATGACCCATTTTATTTGGACAAAATAGAAATGGTGGCACAGCGCCTAAGGCCGCTTGGACACAGGGACGTGCTGTTTTCGCGGGCCGGAGTGCTGGTTTTGCGTAGTGGCGGCGTGGCAGGGGGAGCAGCAGCTATTATGAAACCATTTCAGCCAAGTGTATTGTGTTCAAACACACACACATACCGGCTCACACATACATATGTATAATACATGTCGTTATGGTCAGCTGCCACGCGCGTATCCTCCTTTTGCACACAACATTCCCCCATTTCTCTGTGCATATGTGTGTGTGTATGTTGTTAGGCATTTATTAGGAAATGTTAGACAAACAGCGTGTCACATGTTGATTGTTACGAGTGCGTCAATGCTGTTCCGCCATAATTCGTTAAAATTTGAGTGGTTATGTCTGGTGCGGGGCGTTGCTCAATAGCCGGTGTCGGATGTCTAACCCTTGGCATTCTTGGCAACACACTTACAGGCGCTGTTGTTTAACGGTTGGAGTGAAAAAAGGCTTGTTTTACGATGTTTTTCATGCTTTTATTTAAATAAAATATTTAGAAATTTAACAAATAATTATAGAATTTTGGTTCTAAGCTGTCAACAATTAGTTTGAGTGATTTTTTTCATTAAAAAAAATTAATAACAAAGATCACTGCTTGTGTCTGTAACAGATTTGTAGAAGATTTTTTCGGTCAGTTTGTATGCAGCTTCATATATGTTATAGTGATCCGATCTGAATAATTTTTGAAGAGTTAATATCCTCAAATGAAAAAGTTTTCCATACAAGAACTTGATTTTGATCTGTCAGTTTGTAAGGTGGTCAAATATCTCCATCTTTTTGTCTTTTAAATTTCGCGGCTATATATAAAGCGCGACAGAGCTCGTATCTGGCAATAACATACATGTTTGAAAGGTCTTGACATAACCTACAAAACACCTATAAATAATTAGTTTGGGTATTGCGTTCAACAGTTATAGACGTGTACACACGTAGTTCACTAACGCCGAAATTCGCGCTATTTACAGTTTATCTTCGTTAAAGGCAAATCCGCTAGAGAAACGTTCCGTGAGATTAATGGTGTTTGGGAGGATATTAATCTATCACATCGAACTGCGGAGGAATGGTTTCGACGATTCAGTGCGGGTGAAAACGATATCATTACGATATCATTGATAAACCAGCCGGCGTAAGACCTGTGACGACGAAAATCGATCAAATCATGGAAAACATCGAGTTAGACATGTGGTAACTCGTGACATCGTACAAAAGATAGGATGGGTGGGATTAGTCAACCATTTTAAACCATCTGTAGAGGGTGGATGCACGAAAAGGCTTGATGTTTGGGTGCCGTATGATTTGACACAAAATACCTTCTGGAGCGAATCAACGCTTGCGACATGCTGCTGAAACGGAACGAACTCGACCCATTTTTGAAGCGGATGGTGACTGGCGACGACAAGTGGATCATATACGGCAATATCAAGCGAAAATGGTCGTGGTCGAAGGCCAGTGAATCGTCCCGAACAGTGGGCAAGCCGAGATTGACGGCCAGGAAGGTTTTACTGTGAGTTTGGTGGGATTGGAAGGGAATCATCCACTATGAGCTGCTCCCATATGGCCAGAGGCTTAATTCTACCATCTATTGCGAATGACTGGAGCGCTTGAAGCAGGCGTACGACTTTTGTCGAGTGAACGATTCTGAGGAATATGCGTCCAAAGTCAAAGCGATGCCATAAAATACCTCTGAGCTGCAGGAATTTAAAGATAAGAAATCACGATTGTGGTGTATTTTCAATCGAATATTTTTACATGCCTTGATCTAGTTCTTAATGTTAATATTAACGGCTAAAATGTTCAGCGAATTTTTTTAAGGGTATTTCCAAGGAAATTTCATGACGGGATTGGGAAAAATTATTAGTTAAAAAAAATAATAATAATAAACACCCTAATATACATATATATCACCATATTACTTATTTATGTTTTTATATACAATACATTTTTTTCTTATTTTCAGATTTTTCTTTTTGTACCATTTTGCATTCTACGCTTATCATTATCGCTTTAGTGGACAAAACCGTAGCTTGGCATTGGTATCTTCTTGGCTCTTTATACAGGTGAGTAAATGAATATATTTTCTAAGCAGTTTCAATCGATCATAAACGATAACTCGCAAACTCGTTCCAAATTGAATTAAAAAGATGAGCCAAGGCATCCTTATTTATAAATCTAATTAATACCTTCCTTTGCGGTATGTTTGGTATACTTTTTTAGAATATCAGAAGTTCGATCTCATCCTTTTCACCATTCACTATAGTACTCTTTGATTCGCAACTTTTCTGCACCTTTTTTGTGCTCTATATACCAAAGTGATCAGGGGTGGTCAGATATCATGATGAAATTTGGTACACGTATTTCTTGGCTCCATAAGAAGGTTAAGTTCGAAGATGGGCAAAAAAAGATGGGAAAATCACTAAAAGTGCGTTAACCGACTAACATAAAACGTCAGAAACACTAAATTTTACGGAAGAAATGTCAGAAGGAAGCTGCATCCAGGTTTTTTTTTTTAAATTGAAAATCTGCGTAGCGTCGCCCACTTATGGACCAAAAACCATATCTCAGGAAGTACTCAACCGATTTCAATGAAATTCTGTATGTAATATTTTTTTTAACACCGTGATGACATGTACCAAATATGGGTGAAATCGGTTCACAACCACGGCTGAAATCTCGATTATCACTTTATCATGCGAGAGTATATAATGTTCGGTGACACCCGAACTTAGCTCTTCCTTACTTGTTTCGAAGTAAGTTTGTTATAAAGGATGGTCCATTTCGAGTTTTCCTATTATAAAGAAAAAACGCAGAAACTTCAAATTTAATGGAGACTGGTTATAATAATTCAAAAGAACATTCTCTCTGGGATTTAAATTTTGAACATTATCTCTTTCAAATCTTGGCGCGGCTTGGTCACAGACGGTCCAGCCGTGGAGTTCAATTTTTGATAACTCGTTCGAGCATTTCGACTGGTAACTGGCGAATGCCACGCGTAGTATTTTGCTGCAAGGCCTAAATCGAAGCAGGATTGTCCGTATATACTTTAAACTTTTCAATCCCCCCAGGAAGAAGTGTAAGGGTGTGATATCACAGGATCTTGGTGGCCAATCGACTGGCCCAAAACTTGAAGTTATCTCAATATCACGAGCTTCAATTTCAGGCATCAAGTAGTCGGTTATCATGGCGCGCATATGAGCGGAGCGATATCGCTTGAAAATCAAGCGGCTTCCATTCTTACACAAGCAAAATGCTTTCAATTTAAGATCTGGACGTACAATGCGCCAAGTCCTTCCATCCGTCAGTCCCAGTTGCTGCGAACGACGCCTAATCCACGCTCCGCGGTCTTCGTGTACACTCTCAGCCCCGGTTGCTATATTTTTATACCCTGAACAGGGTATTCTAAGTTTGTCACGAAGTTTGTAACACCCAGAAGGAAGGGTCGGAGACCCTATAAAGTATATATATAAATGATGTATATACATGAATGAGTATGTCGAACTGAGTCGATTTAGCCAAGTCCGTCTGTCCGTCTGTCTGTATATGTACGAACTAGTCTCTCAGTTTTTAAGATATCGTTATGAAATTTTGCAAACGTCATTTTCTCTTCAAGAAGCTGCTCATTACTCATAATTCCGATATCGGACCACTATAACATATAGCTGCCATACAACTGAACGATCAGAATTAAGTTCTTGTGTGGAAAACTTTCACATTTGACAAGATATATTCACGAAATTTGGTATAGATAATTTCCAGAGCCAACAATGTAATCTCCTAAGAAATTGTTTAGATCGGTTAACTATAGCATATACCTGCCATACAAACTGAACAATCGGAATTAAGTTCATGTATAGAAAACTTTCACATTTGACGTGGTATCTTCACGAAATTTGACAAGGATTACTGCTTAAGGTAATAATATAATCTCCGAAAAAAATTTTCAGATCGGATTACTATAGCATATAGCTTCCATACAAACTGAACACATAATTATTAACAGAAATGAACCTGTGAAGGGTATTTAGCTTCGGTGCAACCGAAGTTAACGCTTTTTCTTGTTTTCATTGCGGGCCATGCGTAATCTGTAAATCTTTTGAAAAAAGTACCTCTACAAAGGTTGTTCACATCAACGTCCTCAAAATTAGAATATTATTCATGGCTCTATAGCATTCCCCATTTACTGTGACATTATGGTCGAACATGCGACGCGCTTGATGGTCGATCGGCTTCAATTCTTGTATTGGAGTTGGATGTTGTACGCCCGCAAACAAAAATTCTCCTGTAAAATCTTCCATAAAGAGTTGCGCGCGATCGCGAATTGACTTATCGTATTCGTGTTCTCTTCGACACTCTTATCCACAAAAGTGCTAGCGTTTTCTCTACTGCTTCTCTGACCAACTCTGAAAGAAGTATTGCCTCACTATTGAAAACCATACGTCTAAAAACATCCTTTATAGTAAATTTTTCGCCACACCTTGGCAAACAATATCGAATATATGTAAGTGTATTGATATAGCTTGAAGATTCTACATCACTAAGATAATCCCCCAAATTGAGAAAAAGGCTCAGCAAAGCAGACAATATACATATACAAGTATGAGTGATATTCTGAGATTCGAGTTTAGAATCTCTCTCTCTTGCATTTCTAAAAATAAAATTTTTTGAAATCTTATAACTCATTTACGAAATCACTAAATTCATTTCAATTACCAATAATTTGTGCTACAACGCGCTTCGCTATGTAACGGTTACTTTAAGCTTTGTGCCTGCGATTACTGAAATTTATACGATTACATTATGTATCGGTGTTTCGTTGCGTGGCGAGTGAAATGTGATTTGGTAGTTTACCATGTTCACAGTTATAGTTATAATAGTCAACTTTATGGTAAAATGAATTTGACATCCACAGCTTGTGGCCACCACTGCCAATACAGTTATGTCTAGGTCACGTGCCTTCTACATGTACATATCTATATATGTATGTATATACCGTATACACTCATATACTTGTATGAATGCATAATAATATAACCGCGCACTCTGATTTAGTTGGTAGAATTGATGTAATTCAGAATGCTGCTGCAGATGCGCTGATTCACGTGCCGCTTATCGATTTCATTCGGATTCTTCACGTGTTTGGAGACCCACTGTGCTTGTGCAACTATTGTCACGGCGCCACTCTGAGTTGTGCTGAAATGACTGCGAAGGGCATTGAAAAAATCACTCCTTAAAAAAAAAAAATATATATATATATATATATATAAAGGCTTTTGACGGAGGTTAACCTTAAATTTGGAAATGCCTAGTGAAGACGAGATTGTAATTGGTCTGCGGAAGATGATTTTCGTAACTCAAAAAAGTTTTAATTAGCTACAAAACTTTGCGAGAGGTTCTGCAACTCATCGTCTCATCTTCTGTGGTACAGGCTTCTTGTCATTATAGGTTCGATTATGTTAGGTTAATCTGGTAGGCCAATAAGCCATGCATAGACCAGTTTTGCTCCTTTGCAATACCATATTGAGTTCAGTTGCTAAGTCCAAGAGAAGTAGTCATCGTTTAGGTTGCCTGCGCTTGACGTTAATTTTAACAGACTCTTCGGCCTCACTATCGCTATACCTCCTCCAGTGTACGTCCCCCCGTACCGTGGGGACCCCAGATGTTTACAGCGTAGTAGTTGTCCTGCGGGCGTGTGCCGCCACCAGACAGTGCTTAGTTAGTTTTCCAATTATGTTCCTACAGTCTCTTCTATCGAGTGCTAATAAACATTTTATGTACCTTCGATGCATCGTTTTGCACATAACTTTTGCAGTTTTTGGCCGAGGTAGCTCGATCCATCGGGTTTTGATTTACTTTACCACGCTTCTGTCGAGATCGCTGTTTAGACAATGTATCACATTTTCGGATGTTAGCCGTAAACCATTCTTGGCATTCTCGTCCACTATTTCATTTCACTCGTTGCCTTTGTGGCCAGGCACTCAGTAAAGATTATGTCAATTGTTTCTGGCAACACTTTCCACTGCCGTCCTGCATCCGAAGACACTTCTAGTCGATATGGGATACGAGTTTACTGCCTTGCTTGGCGGTCTACGTAGATGTTAACTCTGGAACTACCTGCAGTGGCATTAGAGGCTAGCACCACGGCTTGCAGTGGTCTGGCAACTTAAAATGTTGTCTTATGCCTAACTCTGGACAGTATATTCCCGTAGCAACTCCATCGTCCCATTTCGAGCCAGTCATCTTTATCTATGTTTACTTTGAACCTTTCTCTCGAAAGCTCGTAACGTCGACGCTTCTGTACCATATAGCAGGACGTGAATAATGAGGGACTTATAAGTTCGTGGAGAGAGGCCTTTGCTTCTCAATTGCCTGCTCAGTACCTAAACTCACTTATTACAACTTTGTTCTGTTTTGACATGAATTGACTTTTTATCGTTATTGGATTGACTTTACCATAGATTGAACTTAGATAATTAAATTTTTGCGTTTCCTGAAGCTTATTATATGTAGTCTTGCATTAGTATTTGTAGGAAGATTTGAACAGAGGTGTCACAAAGCTCATTATAAATATTTACATGTATCAACATAATTATTATATAAAACAATGGCGAATCAATTCAAGGAGTCACTGGCCACTTTGCATGGCTTCGGCTAAAACACGTGGCCACCCAATTTGTTACACGCGTCTCATGTCTTACATAGTCTAATATTCTAATATACCACATTCTGACAATTATTTCCACTTGCTCTCCACTCTTCTCTCCCCTTCGCCGTTTAGCACTCAATGTTCTATTTTTTCCATCGTTACGAGCTGCCCGTCATTATTCAACAAGCGGAAATACTTATCATAACAAACAATCAGAATGTGGCGGGGAATGGTCCACAACGACAACAACAGCAGCCGGGTCAGGGACAGCCGGCTGCCTTACTAATGGGACGTCTATTTCGGCGCCCAGCTGACGCACAGCATCAGCAGCAACAACAGCAGCAACAGCGACAACAGCAATACCAACCAACCCTCGAAGCATTACGGAATCAGGCGCTAACACCCTATGTTGGTGACTATGTGCGTGACTACCTACAGCGGCGCGGTGGAGCAGTGGACACGCTACGACGCACGCTGCTACAGCCACGTGTTCGCGTGCAAATCGCCAATTTGCAGCGCATTAATTTGAGTGCCATTCAGATAAATCCAGCGAATCTGGATGCGATCGCCCGAGCCAGCGAAGCAGCAGGCGGCGAGACGGCATCAGCCGCATCTTCAACAGTGAATGTCGGTGGTGGTGCAGGTGGAGCGGAGGGCACTATTACCATCAGACAGGTGGCAAATGCAGATGCGCCTACAAATGGTGCAAGTGGTAGCAGCAACAACAATACGGGCAACAACCATGGCTCCACCATAGGCATTACAATCTCTTTCAATACCGCAACGCAAGAGTCGGGCGGCGAGGGAAGAATCGCCACGGTGGTGGGCGGTGATGGGCAAACTGTATTAGCTGCCACGTCGGCGGACGAGTTGACAGCAGGAATTACGGTGAATGCTGGCGCGGAATCACAACCATCGTCAACAACATCAACAGGTAAATATATTTACAAGTTAATTTGTACATTCCTTTGGTTTTATTTCTTTCATCCGTGCATCGCTTGCAACAATGAATGCTCAAATACTCGAGCATACCGCCAGGTTTTGAAGGTTAGGATCCACTGCCGTTGGTATGATGGCGCTCGTAACAGAGCTCCTGTTCGTTAAATATTAAGTGATGAGGAATTTCTGGCATTTTAATGTTTGTTTAGGTCGCGAATTTCTTGAAATACATTCTCTACCTAGATTCAGAAATGCAATCAATTTTAAGGTTAGTTTTTTTCGAGCACTGCAATAAGACCCATCAGTCAGTGCTGTCGAAAGTGATTGCATATAATTTTTGCAGTCAGTTGCGTTCTTCTCTTAACCAGCAATGGAGAAACGACTTCACTTCTACTGGGTACCAGGTCACAAAGGTATCGAAGGCAATGAGTTAGTAGACGTGATTGCCAAGAGTGGTGACGGCTGTGAACTGAAAAGTTTACCAACTTTAGTAAATCCATGCAATGGCATACGGCGATCTGGACAGAAGTATGGCGAAGAAGCTCAATTTGATCGACTCAAATCGGTAAAACTGCAATTGTCATATGCAACGCGGAGGATCAGAAATACAAGAGATTTACACTCATTTTTGTTAGAAAGAATCGGATAAACATGATTGGAATACCCACTAGTCACAGTCTGATGGCGGCACACGCTTGCCACAAATGCTGATAGTTCGAGAAAACTCCAAGAAATTTCAAAAGCAAGGCATCAGCCAAACATTCGCGTGTGCACTTGTCCCACATTAGTATGGTAACGCTTCAACCATTTGGTGGCACATTGGAAGAGGTGCCGGTAGTGTGGCCCCAGAACCTATAAAAATTCGTATCAAGCTCTGATATTCTGAAGGATGGTATATGCGTAAAACGCTGGCATACTGAATGATGATTACTTATCCTGAACTACATAATGGCACTCCATTTAGCATCGCTAAGGACCAAAATTGTTGTATACGCGGCTCATTACCCAACCATACTAACCTAACCTATAAGGTTCTCCGAATCCTTTCACAGCTTCCAACTCCAAATTCTCACTGAAAGCTATGTATTATGAAAACATTTGACAATACCTGTAGAAAGAGTTTACAACGACCGTAACGAGTAAAAAAAAAACAAAAAAAAAAAGGTTTGAGCCGGCATACTGGCGGACTTACCGGTCCACGAGCTAAAACCTCGTTCGACATGCTTTTGGACCGTGCAAAGCAGAAGGAGACTATTTTGAATCAAATAAATTGATTTTGCCGAAAAAACTACAATATTTGTTCTGTTTTTTTTTAACTCCTGTTTACTTTGGAACGTACCTTGTAGGAACAGTTTACAATGACCGTAATGAGTACGATTGCAGAACTTCGATGTATGCCTGGATACCTCAGAATTAGAGGAAATAAGGTACCATATAAATTAAGAAGAAAGTGCCAGTACAAAACGCCACTAGCAACAGGAGCCTGTGCTGAAACTGGCGAGCCTGCTTCTAGAACAGTTCCATCCCACACGGTGCAAAAAAGTAAAGGTTCTCCCCAGAAACAAGTTAAGGGAACTTATGGGTGTTTAAAAATGTCACTATAGTCCAAGGACAAGTGTTGTAATAACAGGAGGGAACGCAATAGAACACAGATCGGTCGCAGAGCATTCCTCAACTGTCTGCCTAGAGCAAATTTTCTTCCCTTTGTCTAACTATTAACGCGAGTTTTATTACTGAAGCTGATTAGCAAATGAAAAAGCGGGAGAGGTAGAAAAGTAGTCGTATATTTTAACTTTTGCATAGACAAATAGGTTTCTCCAAAAAGGTTTTGGAAAATGCTTCTCTAACAAAAAAACAATGATGGACTGTGATCCAAAACTTGTAGAAGTCACTGTCAGTGGTTGCCAACATTGATATATATACCTATTCAAAATGCGAAGCAGGTTAATTTTTATTGTCTTTTTAATCAAATTTTTCTTTAAACCTATATTCCTAGGGGCCGAGTCAAAAGAGCAGCCAGAGCAAATTGAAGTCAACACCATAGTGGCAACCGCGGAAAATGACGAAGTGAACGGGCAAAAGTCGCCTCAAACCCAAATAAATATTCAACCAAGCTTAGATATCAACCAGCAAGCGCTACTTAAAGAAGAAACTGTAAATGCAGAGGATTCACTGGCAAATGGTACTTGTGACAATGCTAATGGTCTACACAACCAAAGAGCAGAACTCAAAGAAGAAGACTCATATGCAGCGAGTATAACAAAAACTGCAAAAGAGGAAAGTAGCGGTACTTCAGTCGAATTGACTGGTGGTAAACCAACTTTTGCGGAGTCCTCAACGACATTTGAGCGTGACCCAGAGGTGGTGGCCATATTAGACACATCTGTGCCGCTGCCTGCGCTGCTACCAACAGCATTGTCCGAAGTGACAGCGCCCATATCCACGATAACAACTGTAGCAACAACACCTTCAGCTTCAGCATCAGCACCAAGCACGCTTGCCGTACTTCAGCACACACAGCTGACAGCCGCCGACCCGGATCCAACTATAAATGCTACTTCAACAACTACAACAGCAGCGTCCAGCGCATCAAACGAAAGCGTGGCTGCTATCGGCACAGCAGACGCCGGATCCGAACCCGTGCTTGTGAAAGGCTTCACTCCACCAGCTGCACACGAAAAGGCGACCACCCTGACAATGTCGCCGGCGGAACAGTGGTCAACTGCTGCTGACTGCGTCTCTAAGCCACAGGATGCAGCTTCGACGCGGTGCGCTGTCTCCGCTCCGAGTGAGGTGTCTGAGGTGTCCTTAAACTAAGCGCGCATTACTTATAGCTTATGTTTGTCATAATGACTGCGAAAAAGTGTTTAGCCAAACAACAGTTACGCAATGAGAAGACCTAACAAATTTTAGTTCATTTATGTATGTATGTATATGTAAGTGGATGTGAAATATGCAAATACTTGTATTAAACATTTTTATTAGCCTATAATTTGTATAAATAACTATTTTTTTGTTTTATTTTATTTTATTATATTTTTTTTTTTAATTAAGAGAAGAAAAATTTGCTTAAAATAATATTTTTCCAATTCAGCACACAACATTAGCAGCAAAGTCTTTTATTTACAGTAATGTGCGGCTCTAGGTACTACTATTTTGTTTTTTTTATTATAGCATAGGTAATGCCTAGAATAAAACTTTGGAAGACCCTGTAAAGTATATACCATACTTGTGTAAATAATCAGTGTGACGAGCAGAGTCGATTTAGCCAGGTCCATTTGTCCATCCATATTTATAGTCTTGTTAAAAAAACTTATTAAAGTGTGGTTCATTTCGCGGTTCCTTACTTTTTTAAAGAAAAAAACACAGAAACTTCAAATTTACTGCGGAATATTTAGTATGATTCCAAAGAACATTCTTTGTCATTTATTTTTTGAAGATCATCTTTTTCAAATGTTGGCAAAGGCTACGTCTCAGATGATGCATACGTTTAGTCCAATTTTCGATGATTCGTTAGAGCATTTCAATTGGTAACTGCCACATTACACGCGTGATGTTTTGCTCCAAGATCTGAATCGGAGCGGCAATTTCCGCATAGACTTTAGACTTTACTTATCCCTACAAGAAAAAGTGTAACGGTTTGATATCACATGATCTTGGTGGGCAATCGATCGGCCCAAAACGTGAAATTATCTGCTCACCGACTATCTCAATAAATCCATAGATTGATTCGATGTTTGAGAAGTGACGACGTCTTGTTAAAATCAATTTTCGCCGAGATCACGAGCTTCAATTTCTGGCATCAAATAGTCGGTTATCATGGCGCCATAACAATCGCCATTGACAGTTACATTCTCACTGGCATCATTTTAGAAGATGTATAGACCGATAATTCCATCGGCCCACAAACCGCACCAAACTGTTTTTTTTTTTTGTTTTTTTCTGGATGAAATGATAGCACTTGGATCTCCTCATATTGCTTTTGCGACAATTTTACTTGTTTACAGACCCATTGAGTCAGAAATCGGATTCAGCGCTGAAAAAAATTTGTCTCGAAAACGTCGGATCTTCTTGAAACTATGCAAGAGTCCGTAGTTAGTAGACCGATTGTGTTGACCAAAAGTTAAATACATTATTTCGTTATAAAGTTAAGCAATTTGTAAACGTTGTTCAGTCTAAGTTTTTCCATGGTGAAAAGCCAAATAATAATGAAAAAAATTACGGACTGCCTGTCACGTCTCACGAGTGATCTGTCAAAAAAGGCTAATGAAAAAAGTACCTCTATTTGGATCACCGATAACCATACCATATATGTAAATAATCAGTGTGACGAGTCGGTTTAAACAGGTCCGTCTGTCCATCCATCCGTATGGTCCGAATATATGTATATTTCGTTACAAAGAGCAGAAAACTCGCAACTGAAATTTCTTAGCTTCTCAAAAAACTATCGCACTATTGTATTTCCCAGTAAGTGACAGAAGAGAAGTTGTTACTTGGTTCAAACCAATTCAACCATAAAAATTGTACGCAAACGCATTAACAAAATTGCATTGCGCCTTCTTTGCCACTGGTAAGGCTCAAACGAAATGAAAGTATACTTCTTATACATTCTTATATGACAAAACATTCAGTTCAGAAGAAATCTTGAATACTTAAAGCGACGAAATCTACGAAAAAATCTTCAAAGACGTCAAATGTGTTATTCCAAGCGTTCAACGTGTCCGTCTTACAGCCGCTGTGATGGTTTGGTATGAAGTGAAAAAGTAGGTAAAACTGGGGCGAAAGTGTACCAACAGAATATGCTAGAGGCATCCTAAAGAAGTATATCGCTACTCACTTTGATGGAGCGCATTGAATCTTCCATAGCAAATATTACATAGCAGTGGCTTAAAAGTAAAATTCTAGGTTTCACAGCTGTAGATGATTGGCCGCCTGAAGTGCACATTTGAATGCATTGGACTATCGTTTGTTGTCAGAGTAGGAGAAGAGCAGAACTTTTCTCTAGAAAACTCGTAACGTCGACTTACTAGATTTGTCATCGTCAATGCCTCGGCACCATATAGCAGGACGGGAATAATGAGGGACTTATAAAGTTTAGTTTTTATTCGTCGAGAGAGGACTTTACTTCTTAAATGTATACTCAGTCCGAAGTGACACCTGTTGGCAAGAAGTATTCTACGTTGGATTACAAGGCTGACATTGCTATTGATGTTGACGCTAGTTCCAAGATCGACATAATTATCTACGACTTCGAAGTTGTGACTGTCAACGTTGGAGCCAAGCCGCGAGTGCGGCGACTGTTTGTTCAACGATATTTTAATTTTTTTGATATTTTGTCTAGCCCTCATTCTCAACTAGACCCATTTCCTTTGCTTCCTTATCCAGTCATTAACATCGATGTACGACATCAGCTCTGTACATTCTTCTAGGAGATTGTACCTTATTCATTTGCCACTGCAGCTCGAATTATTTTCTCCAGTAGTCGATTGAATAATTCGCACGATATATAGTGGCCTTGCCTGATACCTTGTTGGCTCGGAGAGGTCCTTCCAGATCCTCATTGAGCTTTTGGTATTGCTCAACGTCAGTTTACACAGCCGTATTAGTTTTGCGGGATTACCAAATTCAGACATAGCAACCTGAAAGCAGCTTCTTTTCATATCGTCAAAACCAGCCTTGAAATCGGCAATGATAAGGTGTGTGTCGATCCAGTTTTCATGGATTTTTTTCCTATATTTGGAGCATGGTGAATATCCGGTCAGTTGTTGACTTTCCAGGCCGAAAGCCACACTAAAAAGAAGTAATCACATTTTTGAGAGTGGGCTTTAATTTTCACACGATACGCTCGATATTGGGGAGGCTTATCTCACGGTAGTTCACGCAGATTGTGGGGTCTTCCTTTTTGTGGATTGGATCAATCGGTGAAAAGTACATACCTACCCCTTATTTAATTATTACACTGTTACAAAATAGTAGCTGTTTTAAAATTGGGCACCGTTAAAAGAATCATATTATTTTAATCGTTGTAAAGTAATTACTTGAACGAATTTGATTTGATGACTTAATAATTGCATAAATGAGTTGGAAAACAATGCTCACGCACTAGAACCACCCCAGACAAGATGCTTAGAACGGGCATCGCTGCGTTGCCACTCAACACCCCAATGCGCGCCTCAGTTGCAATTAATTCTGCGTGGCTTCACTTTCTTCTGACAACAGGCGAAAGACAACTGACAACTTAAAAATAACAATTTGCATCTCATTAAGCCAAAAAATTTAGCATACGAACAACACACACACACATGTACGAAGTGATATATATCGTATAGACATTTGGAATAATTTTGTATATTTATATGTTAGTTTACTTTTGAAAACTCCAAATTGTATAATAAAACAAGTAAGTAATGTTGAAGTTCAAATGGAACCGAATCAGTCTTTGCTGATTGAAATATTGCTTGTCTCGTCATTCTCTCTATATTTAAGGTGAAATCACTTGCTATAGACAGGAGCAAGTTGTAATCAATAGTTGTTGTCAATCCGGACTATGCGATGGAGTCTCTCAACCAAGCTCACGGTCTCTCTGGCAAGTCTTTATGTATGCGGTCTGGCGTTTTCCTGGAGGAAAACAATTTCTCTCCTATTCACCGAAGCTGATTGTTGACAGTACAGGCCTGAATTAAGGAGAGTAGCTGATGCTAAAAGATTACCTAAAACTATTATAGCTATGTCAACCAAACTGTATAGAGTCGTTTCTTTTAGGCATTTCCATATACAGTTCAAAAATGGAAGAAATCGGATAATAACCACGCCCACCTCCCATAAAAAGGCTATGTTGAAAATCACTAAAAGTGCGTTAACCGACTAACAAAAAATTTTACGGTAGAAATATCAGAAGGATGCTGCATCCAGGCTTTTTTTAAAAATTGAAAATGGGCGTGGCGTCGCCCACTTATGGACCAAAAACCATATCTCAGCAAGTACTCAACCGATTTCATGAAATTCGGTATATAATATTTCCTTAACACTCTGATGACATGTACCAAATATGGGTGATATCGGTTCACAACCACGCCTGAAATCTCGATTATCACTTTATCATGCGAGAGTATAAAATGTTCGGTGACACCCGAACTTAGCCCTTCCTTACTTACTCTAGATACTAGACACTCTAAAGATATCAACTGAAGATGTAAATCATATCATTCACGAATAGTTGGTTATGAGAAAGTGAGTGCCGCTAGAGCTGAACTTTGACAGAAGTCAACGACGAGTTGATGATTCGGTGCAGCAATGGATGAATCATGACTCCATCATTTCACTCTGCAGTCTAAACGACAGGCGTGGACGGCATACGACGAACCCGCTCCAAAGCGTGAAAAAACGCAGCAGTCAACTGGCAAGGTTATGGCGTCTGTATTTTGCGATGCGCAAGGCGTAATTTATATTTTTTTTTACCTTGAAAAGGGAGGGACCTAAACAACGATTGTTAGGATGAAATCGCCGAAAAACGGCCGTATTTGAAGAAAAGAAAGTGCTGTTTCAAATCCGTATCGACCGTATTCTCCAGATTTGGCCCCCAGCCACTATTTCCTGTTCTCAGATCTCAACAGGATACTCGCTGGGGAGAAATTTTCGTCGAATGAAAAGGTGATTGCTGAAGCATTTGCCTATTTTGAAGTAAAGAACAAATCGTACTACAGGGCGTTTTGTGGTTGGTAGTAGTCTTTATACATTTTAATCTCATAATTTCAAATCGACCTTCTAATACAAAATCGTATTTATTGCAATGCATTCAGTATTACCGTATTCAGTTCGTGTGCTGAAGTTTTCAAAATCTTCGGGAACTCCAGGCCGGACAATCTACTTATTTTGGAGCATATTCTTCCTCAGTCACATTTTCATGCGGCGAAGTGTCGATAAAGACAATTCAGAGCTCGAATTCAACACAGGAAGAGTGGAGAAAATGTGAAAAAAAACTATGAT